TATACCTATTTAAACTTTATGTAAGTTATTTGTTATTTTATATTAGGCATAGCCTGCCCTATAGCATGGTGTATTTTTATTTGTTTTGTTAATAAAAGTTCTATGTTTTATATATACGCTCAAGTGAGTTTGACGTTGTATTTTGTTGCATTCAAGCAATTGACGCCGAACTGCCGCTAATTCGAAAGTGAAAGTAAAATGCGCACGGCGCTTTTAAGCTATTTAAAAGCGAAGGAAAGCGAGGGAAAATTCAAACGAACTAAAAACGAACAATTGCTTTACTCCGAATTGCCGCTATTTGAAAGTGAAAGTAAAATGTGCATGCCGGTTTTACAAGTTATTTAAAAGCGAGGAGAAGACGGAACAACTATTTCTGTGATTTTTGTATTTGCTGGAAAAAACAAAAGAAAATTGCATGTCGTTTGTCATTGGTACAAATTTTAACACATTTGTGAATGTCAGTTGGCATTAAAAATAATTTTTAACTGTCTAAATAACCTGTATTCTTCATTATTTATTAATCCATGATTGTCTTGTTAAGCATAGGCAAAATAATGAGAATAGCCCAGCAACACATAAATGCAAACACATAAATGGTAAAAATTACTATATCTTGGGTTTTCTCAACAACCCAGCCTGCTGGGTTAAAATGTGTAAACCAGCATGCTGGGTTACTTTAACCCAGCATGTGTTCTGTCCAATATTTACCCAGCGCTGGGTTGCCAATTGGGTTATTTTTAACCCAGCCATTTTTAGAGTGTATGTCAGTGTGCCTTAAAAACTCACAAGGTGTACTCGTGTATTTTAAGTCATAGAATAGAATGTGGAAATACCTTGAGCTTGTGCAACCACAAACCTTATTTCTGGCATTTAAGCATAAACCCATTGAAAAATCCCTTCAGGACGATGGAATTGGAAGTGCTGAACTGCTAACTCATTTCTAGGTTTTGGCTTACATAAAATGTCACCCCTGCAGCACTCTTATCAAACCAGTTCAAAACACAACAAAGTTTTTATTGTGTTTAAATGATCTTGTTGCAGACCTCTCATTTGCCAGCTGCTCATGTGTCAATACAATCAAATTTTTACTTTATTTATACTAAATTAGAAACCTGAAAAAGAAACCTGATTTTTTATTTTTGTGTGAAAACCTCAAATTATATCACATGCATTATACAATAGCATACAATATATATGAGATGTATATGAGAAATATTAAGAGCAGTATGTGAATTTGCAACTCTAAATTCTAACAGTATTACTGTATGTCTAAAGTCACAGAATTCCTAAACATGTAGGCTACATGTAAAAATAATAAATTGAAATGAAATTAACCGATCTTCGATCCCTCCAGTCTTCCTATGACTAATCAAGCAGAAATACGTGATTAAACCTTTAATTTAGGTCATAAATAACGTTAAGACATAAAGACTTTCAGATAGGCACTAAATAATATTGGTCCATTTGAAGCAGGTTATCAAGCTGAAAGGTTTCTTTATGATCAGTTCTCATAAGATTAGCAAAAGTCAACACATATCAACCTGGCACTTAAATGATAAGCAATTTGAGCTAAAAATAGGAGCCTTTCAGACCCAAACAGAAAATGAGGGTTAAATGAAAAGTGTACCAATTAATCTAGATAGTTCCAGTTAAATTGAATTTGATGGATGGAGAGAAGGTTCACTAATGAGCCGTTTCTTCTGCTTTTAAACATGCTGGATTTTTTTTATACTGCAATAGGAGTAAATTGGGGTGCAATTCAGTCTGTAATGCAGCCAAAAGTACTCTTATTACATTCACGTCTTGCAACTCAGGGAATATAGAAAACACATCATGTCCTAACATAGCGTTTTCCAGGAGTAAACAACCTTTGAAATTCGCCAAGATGTTAAAAATGTATGAAGTTCGCTTTTTAAACCCATACATGAGATAACTATATAACCTCAGTGCTGAAACAAAAAGTTAATTGATGTCATCAATATCACATTACACAATTTCATCATATTAAAAAAACCTTTATGCCAAACTGCTGTAAAAGTATTGGTCACACAAGCAATTATGATCACATTGAGAATACAGCACTCTACATACATTCATATACTGAGAAACCACATCAGTCGTGTCAGAAATATGACAGATCGCATAAAAAAGAGACACAAGGTTTCAATGCTGTCTGGAACAGGACTCTACAGACTCAGACATGTTTTCCACAGTTTTGATTCAAAGATCCTAGCTTTGAAGCTGAGGTTGTTTTGATGGGAGTCCCACAGGTTCTGACGCTGAGGCTCAGAAATTCTACAAAACACGAGGCCTGTCCCAGCTCAAATTAAAGAGACACAGATTTACACTAAGTGCCTGATTCTGCAAAGCATTTGAACACGAGAAACTAATTTGCTGTCGCGAAAGGGACTAGAGCAATGCAAACGATTTGACACGCTACAATTGGCTTTCAGCTGATTGTGAATCTCAAGCCACTGATCATGTCATTGAAAGCAGCACTAAATCCATCTGCGTCTTTAGCTTTACAAGCCATTGCTTTTAGCATTTATCATTATTCATGAGAGTTAACCAACAGGTGTGTATTATAAACATCAAGGACTGCTTATGGAGCTAGAAGGCAGAAAATCGGTGCTGTGTCCTTCAACTGCAACAGACTTAAAAGGATGATTATGTGTTTTGTGGTTAGCAATATCACAGAGGCCCCAATTATCCTCTAAGAACTTGCAAATTAGAGAAAATAACCATTTCAAATTCAAGTCACATTGACACGCGTGCCATTTAGTTTAATAGCAGATGTTTTGCTGCAAGTTAAATGGTAGCCATAATGCAACTTCATAATATTCTTAACATTTGGTGTCACCATTTTAATTTCAAATTCCTTGAGAAAAATTGTAATTCATATTTTAAGATGTAAACAATCAAATATTCATAGTTTGTCCTGAATTTAGAACATAATCAAGCAGAACTAAGCCATCAACTCATCCTTCATGTCTACAAACAAGATCAAGGGCAGTTCTTTTTATGCCAGGCATCTTGAATTATCTGGAGTTCACAAGCATTGCGCCTAAACATGCTGAAAAGGCATTTTTCTCTTTCAGCATAAATCTTTTCCCTGTCTCTTTCATTCTACTCCAAATCTGCATCTTTGTTACGGTCTGAGAGAAGTTTCCTCTGTATGCCATGCAGGCATCAATCGGAAAACCCTTGATATCTCCCCTGAATTACAATCAAAGTTCAAGAAGTCTGCAAGAGGAAGTGGGCTTGTGGTAAAGATCCTCAACTCCCTTATGCTCCAAAAATATGTTATCTTTCAAAATTGAAAAACAGAATATATCAGTCGTGTGCAGTGCGTGGGGAAGTGAAGCACAAGCAGCCCTTTGCATAGGCGTCTGAGAGATTTTGACAAAGGACTTAACCTGACTCTGGAGAAAAAGAGGCCAAATCTCAGAGGCAAATTAGAGCTGAACTTGTTTCTCGACAGGCATCTGAGTGAGAGTGCACTCTGATTTATTTCCCAAAGTGTGGGCAGGAATACCAATGCCTGCTCAAAGCAGCAGAGCGCTCTGCTGATAAGGCCTTCATAAATCCCACCAGCCTTTTTAGTTCACACTTGCATCTGAGCAATGAGACTTCGTATATAGGAATCACTTTACATACACACAACTTCAACCCAACACGTCTCAACTGGTAGCCGAGATCAAGTGGTTTTGATTTCCGCTTGTTTGGATGTCTATTGCATGAACTGCCCACTTTCAATCATCTCAAAAGTCCAGTGACAAAGACAAGGACTCATAACACACCAGGCAACATGACAGCTAAATGGATCTCGGTAGGCAGATATGTAGTGGGCGTGCTGAGCCAATGCCACTGTCCTTACTTGTCCCAGAGGTTTTACTTTGAAGATGAAAGACAACTCTTGTTCTCATGTATCCGCTTCCCCTACAACTTGTCTTTTGCTGCTGGTAGGGCATTCAATTCTCTGTGGAAAATCCATGCTCATTTGAGGTTCTGGCACAAGCGTGCACCACTTGCCTACTTTAAACAGGGGCCTGATTAACAGGCTCAGCCTAATTAGCTGACATGTGAATGGAGGACCACAGTTACATCCTACTACCCATTGTAGTTCTCTAATCAATAGTCATTAGTTGTAATTAATAGTGAAGCTGGCACCACATAAGTCGTAACTAAGCAGCTAAGCATTTTTTCTTCTTCAGTGTTGCAAATATCAGTTCTCACAGCAAATGCCAGATCTCACAGATTCTGAAAATCACAGACTGTGAAAATCACAGAAGAACACTGTTTCAAACCACACAGAGGTCAAGTCCTACCTTTCTAGGTCAGTGGTCTTCTCCAGTGGCGGCAATTTCAGAGGCAATTGTAGACTCCGAGCACAAATTCATTGCCAAGAGAAATAACGTCACTGTGACCTTTTAATACCATTCAGTCAGCACACTGCAGTAAAATGTTAGGGCATAAATTCACAACCATTTTCACAGGTTTTGTTTTATTGTGCAAGAATCAACTCAGGACTGGTTAGTCTTCAAAAAAGACAAAAAATAGCAGACAGCACAACCAAAAGGCACATAAAGAATCAAACAATATATACCTGTTTCTTCATCAATGGAGAACCTTCCAAGACCACTTCTAGCTTTGATAGAGTATCTGATCACTCCATCTCTGCCCTTGTCATCATCTTGAGCAGTCACCTGGAGGACACTTGTTCCATGCCGAGAGTTTTCCTTCACAGTGCCCCTCACTGCGAATTCTGAGAAATATGGCTCGTTGAGGTTCTCATTGACGTCAATGACTTCCACTTCAAGATAAGACTCCGAGCGAAGCTTGACTGGAAAGCCCAAGTCCTCTGCCACCACTGAGAGATTGTAAAATTGTTGCTTCTCATAGTCCAGGTCTTTGGCCACTTTAATGGCACCACTTTCAGGATGGATCTTAAATGTTTCATTGAAATCATTGGGCAGGGAGTATCTCACCCATCCTCCAGATCCAATGTCAGGATCTTGCGTTTGCAGCCAAGCTATAACTGCACCTATAGGAAGGTCCTCCAACACATGGCAACTGTAGCTCCTGGGAATAAACATAGGGGCACAGTCATTTACATCCTCGAGGTAGACTCTCAGTGTTGTCTCCGAAAACATCTGATTCCCTCTTTCTGCCTTATCCCTGACCTGAATTTTGAGGGTGAAATCTGAGACGGACTCCCTGTCCAACAGACTAGACACATAAACAGAGCCGGTCTCGCTGGTAATGGCAAATAAAGGGGTGTTTGTTAACAAGGTGTATGAGATTTCACCGTTCTGACCGAGATCTTCATCTGAGGCTGTGACTTTGATCACTTCCGTGCCGATAGCTGCATTCTCTGGTATAATGGCAGTATAGCTCTTGAGGGAGAATTTGGGGCTATTATCATTCACATCATCAATGTTAACTGTCAGCAATCTCCAGCTGGATCTCTGTGGAACACCCAAGTCATAGATAGTTATGTTGAGAAGGTACCGATCTGATTGTTCACGGTCCAGTGGCTGATAGATGTATATTAGGCCGCTTTCCATGCCAATATTGAAGCAGCTGTCAATGTTCCCATCTGATATGGCATGCAGAATGCGACCATTGAAGCCTGTGTCACCATCATTTGTGTTCACTTGAAGGACACTGGCTCCCACGGGCATGTCCTCACGAACTACAATGTCGGACGGAAAGGATTCAAACTGAGGCGTCTGTCTGTTGACAGAAAATAGATCTGTGTAGCCTTCCTCCACTTTGGATTTGCTAATGGCAGTGGCTCTTTTCAGTAGTTTCTCAGCTAACTTCTGTGCAACTTTTGTGTCTCGACAATTGAAACTTCTTGCTGGCATTCTGCCTCTGACCACTGATATATTTACAAAGGTGGGTGCAGAGAGCAGCTCGCCATCTGACGCAGCTATTTTCAAGCTGAACTGTTCATTCTTTACACTCATTGAGGAGAGGGGTCTTTTTAATGACAACATCCCCGAGTCCGAGTTAAGAGTGAAGACATCTTGCTCATTTCCAGACAGAATCTTATATTTAACCAACCCAAGCTCATCGATATCAATGGCAGACATTATGATGATCGTCTGACCCACAGGAAAATCGCATCCTATCGTACCTTTACATGACACACGCTCAAAAAGAGGTTGGTTGTCATTAATGTTCAACACTTGTACTGTGACATTGACTTCACTTTCTCGTCTGTAAGGCGATCCCCAGTCTGAGGCTCGGACAGCAAACACGTATGTCTCCAAAGACGATTCAAAATCCAGTTCTTTGGATGTCGTCAGCTCTCCAGTATTTTGGTTGATGATAAACGGAAGGGGCTGAAGGCTAGCTATGCTGTATGTTATGCACCCATTATCACCTTTATCATCATCCACCGCTGATATAGTGAGAATGACAGTGCCAGTGGGGATGCTCTCATTGATAGAGACTTTGTAAGATGTGCTGATAAACACTGGGTAGTTGTCGTTAGCATCCTCAACCGTGATTTGCACCTTTGCTGTCATGCCACTTACTGTCTCCATCACCTCTAAATTGAAGAGCTCCTGTTTTAATGTGGTAAACTGTTGCGCTGTTGAGATGACACCAGTGAGTGGATTAATGATAAAATAAATTGAATCTGAGGTCAGGCTTAGGGCATAGCTGACGACCGGCGGTCTTGGAGATATCCTCACAGTCTCTATTATGGTCCCTAGTGGTGCAATCTCAATAATTGAGGTTTTGTAAATCTTTTTTTCGAAACTCACCTGCACAGACTGTGGTTTTTTCACCAAGAGCTTAACAGACTGAGTGTTGGAGAGTCTTGGTGGTGTTCCACGGTCTTTGGCTTGAAAAGTGAGATTGCAACCATAAGGAAATGTATCCCAGTTGACTGGTTCAGACATCTTCAGCTTGTATTCATTTACAAGTGGCGCTCTGTCAAAGACAAACTGTTCCTGCGGGTCACCTGCAATGATGGCAACCCATTCGATTTCTCCATTGGGTCCCTCGTCCAAATCTTCTACAGTAACAGTGGCGTAAACTGGCTCTTTGTCTGATATTAAAGGGTAACGTGCGACTGCAGTCAGTGTTGGAGCGAACTCATTGATACGCACAACACTGATCACTAGTTTGGCTGTACTGCTAATACCACTGTTCCCATAAACCTTCATTCCACGATCCACTGCTAAAACCTCAAGGTCAAATCTGCCGTTCTTATCTGCATTTAGCTTGGCTGTGAGTGATACCACCCCACTGGTTGGGTGGACAGCAAACTCCTCCACGTCTTTTTTGAAGAAATAGTAAAACTCGCCATTGGCGCCGATATCTGCGTCAGTGGCAGTCACCTGAGCCACACTTGCTCCCAGCGGAGAACTTTCTGAAATATCAATGGCATAGGAAGTGGGCGAGAACAAAGGTCGGAGGTCATTCATGTCCATAATTTGCACATTAACTGTCACGTAAGCCTCTAGCCCACCTAGGCCAGTAGCCCTCACCGTTAATGTATAATTATTCTGCACTTCGCGGTTCAGGATGGCAGTGCTCCCACCATTAGTCTGTATGCGAAGAAAGCAAAAGTCCCCCAACACAAATTCCTCAGCCTGAAACAGCCCCTCATCGTCTCCAGATTCAATGGAATATTTAATATCCAAAGGACCAAACTTAGATAGTGGAATCCCCATTTTAACCTCAGTCCTAATGTATGTCCGAGCTGCAGAGTTCTCATAAATGGTGGCATTGTAGATGGAGGCGGTAAATTGAAAGGATGAGGACCCTGGCTCCTGCAGCTGCCCCAAACAAGGAAGTAGGTGGAGGAGCAATAAGGAGAAACTAGTGAGACAGATCCTCATACTACCCCCAGGGCAGCTGTTTATAGCCATGCCATCATCCAGTTATCCTGCAAAAAAGAGATATATGCAGTAAACCATTTCAATCTAGAGTATTCATCTCACAAAGACATATCCTATTGCTCACATAAATGTGAAGGCAGTTATTTATTAAGAAGCCCTTGGTTTGGATTAAATTGTCAAAAAATAAATAAATACCTGACCCTGTTCTCAATGGACTCAGTAATACCCTTTCACAAAACACTGATAAGCGAGTTAGATGGTAATCTCACTGCAAGATTGATAACAGCAAAAAAAAAAAAGAGGGTTAATAGCCATAGGCTATATTTGTGACATACAGGCAAAACAAATCATATTGAAATAATATTCAAATGTTCTTGAAAGTAAAGCGCAACAAGAGAAAATGTGAATAAATGACACATAACCTATAGTTTCGCATTATATTTTTGTTTTGCATTTGAAGTAAATAACTTTGATCATGTCAAACAAAACCGATTCTCTTTTATGAAAGCACGAGTCTACATTAAAATGCGATTGTAATCAAAGGAAACTTTCAACGCTTTGGACTCTAGTAAAAGATGTTTGTTACTGAGACCGAGCAGTCACTTGTTCTCCGATAATTAGTGCATCAAAATATATGAATGAGCTCTTACCTCTGGCTTAGGGAGAAAGAAATCTCTGCTCTGCAGACATCCAAGAGCCCGCTTTGAGAAACTACATCCTTCACTTCGTTGCCATACAGGACTCAGTGCCACTCACAGTTGACTGTAATCAGCGGAGCGCGCAGCTCTAAAGCGCGCTCACGAGTGCACGTTATCCCGTGAATGCGCAAGCGAATCCGGTGTTGTTGCTGCTGTCCCATAGCAACAAAATGATCTAAACCTTATCTCACACAAACATTAGACAATTAGATTAATGTAATTACGCTAAATAGAGCGCGCAAAACAATACTGGTGTTCTTTAGAATATCGTTCAAAACGCATTTAGGATTATGGCAACATAAAAATAACATATTCATGATAATTAGATTTTTTCTTCGGGGAAAAAAAATCATGTGACGGCGTGAAATAGAATTGAACAGGGCTCATATTCATGCACTGCCTTGTCTGTGTTTTTAATTCACAACTCCGTTAGGTGGTGCATCCCATCTCTCACTCTGTGATCCCATCATTCCAACTAATTCCGAGACATTCCGAAAATAGACGATTGGAGCCGAAGTGCTGCACGATAATTTACGGAAACTCTCGAAAGATTCCGGAAGGGAGGGACCTCACGACGGGAAGCAGCAGCAGCAGCAGCAAGCTAGTCAAGACTTCAGATCATTCCCTCTTGACCACGTTGTACAATATACGTTTTAATTTCTGTCATACATTATGTCTGTACTGTGTTATAATAAGGGATGTGGACAACGTTATGATCCCGACAAGAATTCAGATGGTAAGACTTAACAAGCATACGATAGCCGGATTGCTATGGTAGATAGCCGGATAAATGCAGAAAGAAAACCTTTGATCTTTAATAACATTTTTTGATATACATTACATGTAACGTTAGTATTACCGAAACACGACCGCCTCTCAAGAGTCACATATTAATTTAATTTAAAAGTCATTTAGTATGTTAATTTAGGGAGGCATCTACATTGCTGGTCATTAAGTTTGAATGATGCTTAATCAATAGCTCCGATTTAGTAAATTATTATTAAGTTTACAGATAGTAGTTGGAGTAGCAAACTTGATCTACACTGACATGTGACTATATTCTTCAGACGTCACATTTCACGCTATCAATCTCTTCTTATCCATAGACGCATGCACATACCACCCCGGAGTGCCAGTGTTTCATGATGCATTGAAGGTATGGACATGCAAGAAGATCAGTTTACTTATTAATGTGAAATTTAACCGTTCCATTGTTATGTTACTCCGAGTTAAACCCATTCAATTGTGTCTGTCATTGCTTCCCAGGGTTGGTCTTGCTGCAAGAGACGAACAACTGACTTTTCGGATTTCCTCAGTATTGCTGTGAGTGCTCGCCTGTGATGAGACTGAACGAGCGTTTTCGTAGATAGAGTTGTGGCTGGAGTCTTAAAACAGTTTTTATGAATCTTTTAGGGTTGCACGAATGGCCCTCATAATCAGGAGAAGCCCTCTGAGCCTGTTAAACCAGAAGTGAAGTCCTCTGTGGACATGAGTGTGAATGATGTAAAGCCAAAGTTTAATGAATGCATCACCCAAGCACCAAAACCTCTAGAGTCTATTCAGCGACCAAGGTAAAAGCACACTTGAAGAGGACAGGGTCTTCCCCATTTGTATTTTCTGGTTCATTAGTTCAGATGTTCAGAAGATAAAGTAATGCAGCATTAAATCTACTATAGAGAACAAGTTCTTCTCATTAACAGTTCACCCAGCCAAAACCCACATTGATGTTACAACCTCTTAAGGATAAATGACTGAAAACAGCTGTTTTTAATTGTCTTTGTAGTCCAGATGAGCCTTTCTCCATTCTACAGCAGAAGATCTCTCCTTCGCTCAAACAGGCTTTAGAAAAGCTTAAATTAACTGAGGAAAATGCACAGGAGATAAAGGGTAAGAATAGCCCGACCATCCTTTTCCCCACCTTTCTATATTTGTCTTTTATTCTGATGCATTTTATTCTCTTTCTTGTATTATAGAGGAGGATAGTGATGAAATTAAGATAGGGACGTCCTGTAAGAATGGAGGCTGCAGTAAGGTACTGTTCTCTCTGCCTGCTTCTCCGATTAGAATTCATGGCACGTTGAGTTTCTTTAGTCCATTATAAACAATGGATTCTCATTATTCTGTTTTTCAGACGTTCAACGGACCAGACGGTGATGAAGAGACATGTTTGTATCATTCTGGTGTACCTATCTTCCATGAAGGGTAAATTAGCGCCAGATCAAAACTGAATACTACTACTAAAAAGTACTAGGAAAGTGTAAATGGAGAAATTTCAGATCTATCCGCGGACTCTGCAATTAAGTCCTCTTTTTATCCTTCCTCATAAAAGGATGAAATATTGGAGCTGCTGTAAGAGGAAAACCTCAGACTTCAACACGTTTCTGTCTCAGGAGGGCTGTACCCGAGGAAAGCATCAGTGGAAGAAAAAAGATACCGTAAGTGTCTACCCTGAGATTTAAAAGTCAAAGCACTATATTACTTTAATTGATTTTTTTTTTTTTTTTTCACATCCTGTCCAATAAGAATTTTTAGAGCATCTGGCCTTTTGCAGGCCCATATCCAAGTTCCAAACGAACAAATAATTTGTTGAAGGCCATAATGTTGAATACAGCAAAGGATGCCATTTTTTTTATGTGTACATAGGGAAAGAAGGTTGTGCCATGCAGGTTTGATTGGCACCAAACAGGAAGTCAGGTCATCATTTCCATTTATTCCAAAAATTCAGTACCAGAGCTGAGCTTAGTGGAGGGGAACAGCACTGTGGTAAGGCACCAAGGTCATTTCTGTTGGATTTTATGCTGACATTACATAAAAAATTTTACAAAATCACACCTATGAGACTTTCTAACTACTAACTCCTGTGCTCAATATTTTACTGTATAATTTTACATTTATTTGCAAGATTTTGCATAGCGCTAATTTAAAATGTATTTTATTCTTGCAGCTTAAAATCCATATTATATTTGAAGGAGAGAAAGAATTTGAACAACAGATCAGTTTGTGGGGGGTAAGTATAAACTTTAAGTACTTATATAAAACTTTCATTAAAGCTGAAGCATATACATATGTGACGCTAATTTTACCAAAGTTGTATCTACTTATTAAATTGGGTAGGAGAATTTATTTTAATATTAGTATTTTAATGTAGATAGTTCCAGTCCTAGGGGCTTTACACTCCACGTCATTCCTAACAACACCACTTAGCTGTTCTAAAATTAGTGTAAATCACAGCTTTTGAGGCTTATTGCTTTAAAAGAAACTTCAGCACCACAATACAAATAATGCATCCAATTTAATTATTCTAAGGCTTTTTCCATTTGCTTTTCCTTTAGGTTATCGATGCAAGTAAAAGTTTGGTGAACATGATGGCTACCAAAATTGAGGTTGTGTTGAAGAAGGCAGAACCAATGTCATGGGCCCGACTAGATCTTCCACCTGTAGCTCCACCAAAGGAAGAAGAAAAGGAAAAAGATGACCGTGAGGATGAATGTGATGATTAAATTAAGAGACCGTAAGAGAGCTACTATTCTCCGAATAGGACTGGGAATCATTTTCTCTGGTTCTAAGGTTTGATACATAATAAAGCATGAATTTGTTATATAAATTCTGAAAGCTCTTCATGTTTGTCCAAGGTCAAACTATAGATTTATTGTACAGGGCATGTTTAGAGAGTTTTTCAAAGAAAGCTCTCAAAGAACCAAGTTACTGTTGATACAATATTTTGATTCAGACCAAAATGTGTGCAGTCCTAGTAAATGGAGCGTTTCACATTCCACGGTTTTGTTTTTGCCAATGCAAATAGTCATTGAAGCGGTGTTCATTAATTTGAGTTTAACCAGAGCAAGAGTTCATAATTGCGAAGATGTCAAAGTGAAAGCACACATTTTCTTGTGAAGTATTACTTGCCATTCAAAACAAGTGCTGTGAAACTGTTGCAATTTACCAATTTAAAATCACTTGTGACAGACCAGGATTTTCACAAGGGTTGATTTTCTTGGGAAAAAGCAGAGCTGTAAAATTCCTTCACAGCTTCTCCAGTATCAAAAAAAATAAAAAAAATTTGAATTTGTGCCAAGTACTATGGATGCCAATGAGAACCAGAAACTCTTTGGTTACCCACATTCAAAATATATTTTAAAGGGGTCATATGTTGCTAAAAAGAACATTATTGTGTGTATTTGGTGTATCTTTTGGAGGACCAAACAAAGTAGTTTCGCTTTCACAACGAAACACCGCTTCACACACGGCGGGCTAGAGTGAGCGGAGGGCGGCTTGAGAACGGCTCCGGCCAGCGGATTCGACGAAGGAGCTTGCGGCAACCACATGTGACGACCCCAGGCTGGACTCAGCTTCGTCCACGGTGAAGGGCGATCCACAGCATGAAGTTGATGTATTTCCTCAGCGACCAGCACAGATCAGCTCTAGGCATGACGAAGCGAATATCGTCCTCTTTTGGAAGGCCAAACGAAGTAGTTTCGCTTTCACAACGAAACACAGCATCTCCACAATATGGCACTGGCGGCTACAGCGAGAATAAAAGTTACGCCTTTCATGCACATCTTCCCACATCGTGACGTAGCCATGTGGGGGCGTGTTAGAACAAGCCATTTTAGGGGGGTGTGGTTGACTCTTAACTTTTATAAAGAATATCTCTTTGGGTTTGAGACTTTATTCTTTGCAACTTTACAGATCTTCATGCACCAAGAGCTTGTTACACTCCAAAGAGAAAAGAAATTGCATCATATGACCCCTATAAGTTCAACAGAAAAACTCATGGTTGTTACAACCCTGAGAGCGTGATTGACAGATTTCCCATTTTTGGGTGAACTATCCCTTTAACAGCAATACTGAATTTCACAACCCTAAAATTATCCTCAAGTCTATTTTCAGGAATTTTGACTGGTCATACTATACATATAGCCAGCTTTACAATATAACGATGGCACAAAACCAGTGTTACCCATATAAAACAGGCCATTTGTGATGAGACCGGTCACATTAAGGTGGCTGTTGTGTGATCTACAAGACTCAAACTATGCCACCTTGCCAGCATGAATATTAAATTGTACAAATTTTAACAACTGCCTTGGCCTGAAATCGGAGCCATAAGAAATAAGCCAGAACATACTGCAAAAATATTTATTCAGTTGAAGTTTTATGGAAAACTCAAGGTTCAGTCAAGGTCTGCGCGCATTTCCTCTGACATTAACTTCTTTTAACTTTACAATCATAATTCTTAGTGATCTTCGAGTTAATTCTGAAACTGTATTGGAAACCATGTGCATACGCACATGTACAGTTGTCAACAAAACATTTCATCATTAGGTTTGCTTTTTCCACCTGATGTGGTTAAGTCACAGTCATTTCGGTGCATGTAAGGGTGTCAGTTTTTAAATGATAAAAAAAAAAAAAAAAAAAAAATCAGAAGTCAAATCTCTTTTGGAGATCAGATGCTCCAAAGACAAAGTTTGAATCTGTGGCTTCAGTTGTCAGACACTGATCATCACCATCCTGAGTGCAAAAACTGAAAACTCAATCTTTTCAGTTTTACAAGATCAAAGTGCATTTGCACAAAATGTATTACAATGGTGTTTAACAAGAAACTAGCCATCCTAACAAAACACCTTGATACCCACCTCACTGAAATACTTCTCAATAAGAGCTTGAGCTGCCCGATAAATGGCATTGTTCTCATGGTTTTGAAGAAACTCAATTCGATCCAGCCCTCCCACTTCCTCCACCAACAAACAAAGCTTATCCACCTCCCCAAGTTTCTCAGCAGCCTGCAGAAGGCACACAGTTAATATTTTAGCATATCCCTCACAACGCCAAGCACTGGGAGTTGCAGTAGATTTTTACATATTCTTTGAAAAAATCACACATATTGGACTCACCAAGAAAACGTTATTTATGGCATCTAGGATGACCAGGACAGTCTTGGTGTCTTTAGCTTGAAGCAAGTTCAAGATGGCCTCCAAAGCACCACACTTGACCAGATGAACAACTTGGTCCACAGTCCCACCACTTGTGTAGTTGGTCACTGCCCATACTGCCTCCCGCTGGGTTTTGAAGTCGCCCTACATAATTTGAAGAGGTACAAAAAGTGTCCCAATGCGTAACAGATCCTGGTCAAACAAACACTGAAAAGTGGGTAGACTATGAAGATGCATTCCCCATTATGTTTAACAAGTAGACATCCATATATGAATCCCAATTAGCAGCATTTACAAACATTAGTAAACGGATGCAAAAATCAAAGACAATCATAGCAGCAATTATCAGTCAAATTATGATATAACCGCAAACATTAGAAACTGACAAATTCTTGCACAAGACCAAATTCAGTATAGCCATTTGTGTAACTTTTTTCCATACAATTATCTCAAAGATTTGACAAAGCATGTTAAAGTATACTTTTGCCAACTGGAAATGCAACATTTCAAGAAGCCCCAAGAGGGGCTGTTTGTATAATTGGCCTCATTTTATGCCCAGCTTTAGGAGAAGCAAGCAATCAAATTCAAGCCAGAACATTTTATAGGCAGCTCCGCGTGGGTAAAAAGACATTCAGCGTGCCAGCAAAACATCAGTTATGACATACATTCCTTAGGAGATCCACTAGAGGAGCCAACAATCCACACGTGATGAGCTGTTGGATCTGTTGGCAGGGTCCAGCTGCAATGTTGGACACTGCCCAAGCTGCCTCCTTCTGAACACTGGACTTAGGGTGTCGCATCAGCTGGGGCAAAGCACTCAACACGCCTGCGTCGATGGCCGCTTGTGTCTGCAGGTCTGAACCGCTCACGATATTCCCAATCGAACGTAGTGCTGGTGTCTAGATCATATATGAGAAACTCCTTTTAAGCAATACAACACCAGAAAGTTAAACACTAGGGTACTTACCACCACAGTGAGTTCCTCAAATCCCAAGAGCTCAACCAACCGCGGAAGGATTCCAGTCTTGATGACCACATCAATCCTCTCGTTGGGTCCATCAGTGAGGTACGAAATGGCCCAGCATGCATCAGACAGGATGGATTTGTCACTATGGTGTAGCAGTTGGATTATGGAGGGGAGCATTTGTTGGACTGCACTGAAACGAGGGAAGGGATTCTTGTTCCTACAAAGGTTTGACAGGGTCCATGTAAGGTTGCGAAGGTACCCCACCTGCAAAACATTTTGTGGGTTACATTGTGCAAGTACACTTGCAAATCCAGAGGTGTGGGGTGTCCAGATTCCAGAAGAAACTCACAGGAGCATCTGGCGTGAGCCGTGCCAACAGTGCAGGGATGACACCACAGTCAATCAGGCCATCTCGATATGAAGGACCATCACCTAAACGGGTGAATGAACACTTTGGCAAATGGTTTTCAATCTTCAGAGCTAGTAGATAGTACATCCTTTCTGAACATTCAAGTACCAAAGTCTCATCAAGCATTAGAGTATAACTGCCACATTCTTTTAGGATGCAGATGAAGTTCAAAGTATTCTCACCTGCAATGTTGCCAAGAGCCCAGACAGCCTGTTCACTGATGTTCAGCATTGGTGAAGCCAGCAGGGCAATGAAGGCTGGCACTGCCCCGTGCTCTACCACCTGCTGTGTGTGCCAGGAGGTGCCAGATGCAACATTAGTGAGAGACCAAGCAGCTTCAAACTGCAGCGTAGGGTCATCATTCCTTCCTAGAAACTCCACAAAGCGAGTCAGAAGTCCAGCTTCTATGATCTCCTTCAGGGGAGGGTTTCTCTCCCGAGAAAGCAGCTTCCTGAAGGCATCAATTTGAAGGTTGGTAAGGCTTCATAAAAAGTTGAGATCACTGATGAAGTTAAGACCGGTTACTGTACCTAGCTGCTTGACAACCTTGTCTCTGCTTCTCTGGGCAGTCACCGTTCACATTGGCAACAATTTCTTGAATCGTTTCAGATATGACCTTAACAAAATAAAAATGGAATTTCAAGAGTATTGTAAAAATGTGAATTCTAATTAAAAGGTTTAATTAGCAAACACCTGTTTGTTGTCAGTGTTCTCACACGGTGACAGAGGCTCCTCATCTCCCACAGATGAAATATTTCTCCTCTTCATAATACTTTCAACCTTGTGAGCTTTTCGAAGCTCAACGCACTCTGCAATTCTGCGGTCACGCATTTTCTGCAAGCATAGATAGGGTATAAAGACATCAATAGATTTTAAGGTGTGAACCGTTAAAAGGGGGAAAACCTGCCAGAATGGATGCACAGCTCACCGTTGGTTCCTTGCCCTTATTTTTGAACTTGGACATGCGTTTATCACACAAATTTTCAGTAGGCATTTTGACGCTCAATGCACTAGCCAAAGGCTAATCAATGCCAACAAACTTACACAAGAGTTTTTAAGATCAAACGTTAACAATATAACCGAACTGACAGCAGGAGTTAATATACAAAACCGATCTTTCAATATCAGACTCGACTGCAATAACAAGCAATCCGCTACAAAGAGCATTAAATAGACCAACAGAATTAGAATCAGGTGATAATAATTTGTAGCCTTGCCACACACCAGATCAGAGGATGTGAATCAAATGTTGTTTTATATTTTGGATCACACAACTACTGTATAATAATAAAGTCAAGTGATAACCAGCTAATGCCACAACCTGAAAAGATTTTTTACCTTTTTTTAATGTTTTCTACAAAATATAAAAAGTATGTTATTGCCATCTAGAGGCCAAAAGTAATATGGTAAAATATAGAGGAGCTGTATATGCCTGTATTGATGTCATATATGACCTTACAGATTAATTGAATTGTATACAGTTAATTTGTAATCACTTTTATATATATTATATAAAATAACATTCATATAAAAGTATGTAAATTATATAAAACATTTCATAAAAAGTTCATAAAACATGAAAAATATTTATATAAAATGTACACAAAAATAAATCTATAAAACTTTCTCTTAAACCCGTATATAAATTGCATATTATTAATAATAAATGTATGAAAACACATCTATTCACAGCCTCAGTTGGATTTTCTTCAGAAAAACATCTTTGCAAGCATTACATATTTTACTGTTAAATAGTTTATGTAGGCCTGAATAGTATGACTAGATATATGAAGGTGATTTATAGCAGTAATTCCCAAAAACAAGTACAAATGAATAT